GTGGTACCCGTACCATACAAACCACCAGTGGTACCCGTACCATACAAACCACCAGTGGTACCCGTACCATACAAACCACCAGTGGTACCCGTACCATACAAACCACCAGTGGTACCCGTACCATACAAACCACCAGTGGTACCCGTACCATACAAACCACCAGTGGTACCCGTACCATACAAACCACCAGTGGTACCCGTACCATACAAACCACCAGTGGTACCCGTACCATACAAACCACCAGTGGTACCCGTACCATACAAACCACCAGTGGTACCCGTACCATACAAACCACCAGTGGTACCCGTACCATACAAACCACCAGTGGTACCCGTACCATACAAACCACCAGTGGTACCCGTACCATACAAACCACCAGTGGTACCCGTACCATACAAACCACCAGTGGTACCCGTACCATACAAACCACCAGTGGTACCCGTACCATACAAACCACCAGTGGTACCCGTTCCATACAAACCACCAGTGGTACCCGTACCATACAAACCACCAGTGGTACCCGTACCATACAAACCACCAGTGGTACCCGTACCATACAAACCACCAGTGGTACCCGTACCATACAAACCACCAGTGGTACCCGTACCATACAAACCACCAGTGGTACCCGTACCATACAAACCACCAGTGGTACCCGTACCATACAAACCACCAGTGGTACCCGTACCATACAAACCACCAGTGGTACCCGTACCATACAAACCACCAGTGGTACCCGTACCATACAAACCACCAGTGGTACCCGTACCATACAAACCACCAGTGGTACCCGTACCATACAAACCACCAGTGGTACCCGTACCATACAAACCACCAGTGGTACCCGTACCATACAAACCACCAGTGGTACCCGTACCATACAAACCACCAGTGGTACCCGTACCATATAAACCAAACCACCAGTGGTACCCGTACCATACAAACCACCAGTGGTACCCGTACCATACAAACCACCAGTGGTACCCGTACCATACAAACCACCAGTGGTACCCGTACCATACAAACCACCAGTGGTACCCGTACCATACAAACCACCAGTGGTACCCGTACCATACAAACCACCAGTGGTACCCGTACCATACAAACCACCAGTGGTACCCGTACCATACAAACCACCAGTGGTACCCGTATCATACAAACCACCAGTGGTACCCGTACCATACACGCAACTTACACATTTACCAGGCGACACATACATGATATTTATATATATTGTTCAACATGATACGGTTTAATAATGTGGCCCTCACACATAACCCTCAATGCTGTACATATTTATGAGGCAAGGGGGGGCGGGGGGGGCGCATATTCGAAATTGGGAGCAAAAATGTTATAATGTTATGGATGAACAAATACGAGACTATCATATATTTTAAGGGTAAACTTTTCCTTAAAAATAGTGCAGGCAGAATACTGTGTATATATTGGTGTGTGTTAAATAACAGACAATGAAAAAGTCACCCTCCCCTCCCCCCCCCCCAAAAAAAAATAAAGTTGAAAATCAGTTCGTGGAACACTGAAGAGAGAGTTTTATCTACTGTGTTGATATCAACATTAATGGCATGTACATACTGACAAGGGAACATGCATTCGCGCCCACGCATGCACGCAGACGTGCGCACATACACACATTGTGTGTATATATATATATATATATATATATATATATATATATATATATATATATATATATATATATATATATATATATATATGCAAACAAGCCTGAATGGTCCCCAGGACTATATACAACTGAAAACTCACACCCCAGAAGTGACTCGAACCCATACTCCCACAACTGGTATGTACAGGGACGCCTTAATCCGCTTGACCATCACGACCGGACATAAGGAAGTGATAGCCGAGGCTATATGAACCACTTCCCCGCCGGCACTCGGATGGTAATCTTGGGCATAGCATTTTATCAAATCACCTCATTCTTTGGGGCACACGTGAGGAACACAAATGCAAACAAGCCTGAATGGTCCCCAGGACTATATACAACTGAAAACTCACACCCCAGAAGTGACTCGAACCCATACTCCCACAACTGGTATGTACAGGGACGCCTTAATCCGCTTGACCATCACGACCGGACATAAGGAAGTGATAGCCGAGGCTATATGAACCACTTCCCCGCCGGCACTCGGATGGTAATCTTGGGCATAGCATTTTATCAAATCACCTCATTCTTTGGGGCACACGTGAGGAACACAAATGCAAACAAGCCTGAATGGTCCCCAGGACTATATACAACTGAAAACTCACACCCCAGAAGTGACTCGAACCCATACTCCCACAACTGGTATGTACAGGGACGCCTTAATCCGCTTGACCATCACGACCGGACATAAGGAAGTGATAGCCGAGGCTATATGAACCACTTCCCCGCCGGCACTCGGATGGTAATCTTGGGCATAGCATTTTATCAAATCACCTCATTCTTTGGGGCACACGTGAGGAACACAAATGCAAACAAGCCTGAATGGTCCCCAGGACTATATACAACTGAAAACTCACACCCCAGAAGTGACTCGAACCCATACTCCCACAACTGGTATGTACAGGGACGCCTTAATCCGCTTGACCATCACGACCGGACATAAGGAAGTGATAGCCGAGGCTATATGAACCACTTCCCCGCCGGCACTCGGATGGTAATCTTGGGCATAGCATTTTATCAAATCACCTCATTCTTTGGGGCACACGTGAGGAACACAAATGCAAACAAGCCTGAATGGTCCCCAGGACTATATACAACTGAAAACTCACACCCCAGAAGTGACTCGAACCCATACTCCCACAACTGGTATGTACAGGGACGCCTTAATCCGCTTGACCATCACGACCGGACATAAGGAAGTGATAGCCGAGGCTATATGAACCACTTCCCCGCCGGCACTCGGATGGTAATCTTGGGCATAGCATTTTATCAAATCACCTCATTCTTTGGGGCACACGTGAGGAACACAAATGCAAACAAGCCTGAATGGTCCCCAGGACTATATACAACTGAAAACTCACACCCCAGAAGTGACTCGAACCCATACTCCCACAACTGGTATGTACAGGGACGCCTTAATCCGCTTGACCATCACGACCGGACATAAGGAAGTGATAGCCGAGGCTATATGAACCACTTCCCCGCCGGCACTCGGATGGTAATCTTGGGCATAGCATTTTATCAAATCACCTTCACCTTTTTCAGTTGTATATAGTCCTGGGGACCATTCAGGCTTGTTTGCATTTGTGTTCCTCACGTGTGCCCCAAAGAATGAGGTGATTTGATAAAATGCTATGCCCAAGATTACCATCCGAGTGCCGGCGGGGAATTGGTTCATATAGCCTCGGCTATCACTTCCTTATGTCCGGTCGTGATGGTCAAGCGGATTAAGGCGTCCCTGTACATACCAGTTGTGGGAGTATGGGTTCGAGTCACTTCTGGGGTGTGAGTTTTCAGTTGTATATAGTCCTGGGGACCATTCAGGCTTGTTTGCATTTGTGTTCCTCACGTGTGCCCCAAAGAATGAGGTGATTTGATAAAATGCTATGCCCAAGATTACCATCCGAGTGCCGGCGGGGAAGTGGTTCATATAGCCTCGGCTATCACTTCCTTATGTCCGGTCGTGATGGTCAAGCGGATTAAGGCGTCCCTGTACATACCAGTTGTGGGAGTATGGGTTCGAGTCACTTCTGGGGTGTGAGTTTTCAGTTGTATATAGTCCTGGGGACCATTCAGGCTTGTTTGCATTTGTGTTCCTCACGTGTGCCCCAAAGAATGAGGTGATTTGATAAAATGCTATGCCCAAGATTACCATCCGAGTGCCGGCGGGGAAGTGGTTCATATAGCCTCGGCTATCACTTCCTTATGTCCGGTCGTGATGGTCAAGCGGATTAAGGCGTCCCTGTACATACCAGTTGTGGGAGTATGGGTTCGAGTCACTTCTGGGGTGTGAGTTTTCAGTTGTATATAGTCCTGGGGACCATTCAGGCTTGTTTGCATTTGTGTTCCTCACGTGTGCCCCAAAGAATGAGGTGATTTGATAAAATGCTATGCCCAAGATTACCATCCGAGTGCCGGCGGGGAAGTGGTTCATATAGCCTCGGCTATCACTTCCTTATGTCCGGTCGTGATGGTCAAGCGGATTAAGGCGTCCCTGTACATACCAGTTGTGGGAGTATGGGTTCGAGTCACTTCTGGGGTGTGAGTTTTCAGTTGTATATAGTCCTGGGGACCATTCAGGCTTGTTTGCATTTGTGTTCCTCACGTGTGCCCCAAAGAATGAGGTGATTTGATAAAATGCTATGCCCAAGATTACCATCCGAGTGCCGGCGGGGAAGTGGTTCATATAGCCTCGGCTATCACTTCCTTATGTCCGGTCGTGATGGTCAAGCGGATTAAGGCGTCCCTGTACATACCAGTTGTGGGAGTATGGGTTCGAGTCACTTCTGGGGTGTGAGTTTTCAGTTGTATATAGTCCTGGGGACCATTCAGGCTTGTTTGCATTTGTGTTCCTCACGTGTGCCCCAAAGAATGAGGTGATTTGATAAAATGCTATGCCCAAGATTACCATCCGAGTGCCGGCGGGGAAGTGGTTCATATAGCCTCGGCTATCACTTCCTTATGTCCGGTCGTGATGGTCAAGCGGATTAAGGCGTCCCTGTACATACCAGTTGTGGGAGTATGGGTTCGAGTCACTTCTGGGGTGTGAGTTTTCAGTTATATATATATATATATATATATATATATATATATATATATATATATATATATATTTATTATATATTATATATTATAATTAGTTAATTTTTTAATCAATTGTTTTTGTACACTTGAGAAATTAAATATGACCGAAAGGCTTAAATCAGTTATTATAGCATAAATCATATCTATTTCTCTAATGTTTTCTTCACTTGAAGAATGAAGTTGAAATCTTAAGTCTCAATAGCTTAGTTTAACATTGTACTGGGCTTGACGCATGTCGGAGGCAGAAGTTAGCGGAGATGGGTAGAGGTAAGTGTTACCAAACTAAAGTGATAGCTTATCTTGTCCTGCCCTCTGATTGGTCAGCTGGGGCGCTAGGTAGTTCTGTCTTGGTCCTGAAGATGGCTTAAAGATCCTAAGTATTAGCTGCCTGCTGGTAGTTGGATGTGTATTATATGTAGTGCTTCGTCTGACTCCTATTGTTGTTGTATCTCGATTATTTCAGCATTATTTGTCAGGATATCTATGGCGATGCTCTGGTCGTGTGTGTGTATAAATGATATGATCTTAGATACAGCTGTGTTCTTTGCATGTTGCCATGCGCCTTGAAAAAGATGGTGCTTTTGCTGCCTCTTTATTGAGATCGTTAAGGCCGACAGTTCTCAAGCGGGGACGTTAAGTCATAGACGACAACGTCTCTTTCCAGACGCCTTCGATACCCAAACAATAAGTCTTACAAGAGTTCTGACATTCTTGTACAGCCACCAGCACGGAGAGCGTTTCGGCAGATTCTTAATCCTAATGTTCCTCGGACTACGACCCGCCAAATCGTTAACCACCAGGTACTCATTCGCTACTGGGTGAACAGAGGCTACAGTTAAGGATTGGCGCCCAGTCAATTCCCACCGGCCAGGATACGAACCCAGGACAAAGTGCTCGCGAAGCGCCGGGCGAATTCTTTACCACTGCGCCACGTGGACTGCTTGTTACTGCATCAAGGCTCTATTAAAGAGCTTTGACTTGCCATCAGGAGAGTACCAGGTGCCCTGAACGACCTGCCCCAGAATGCGGCGGGCGCCGCCAGCGACCTGCCCTAGAGTGCGGCGGGCGCCGCCAGCGACCTGCCCCGGAGTGCGGCGGGCGCCGCCAGCGACCTGCCCCGGAGTGCGGCGGGCGCCGCCAGCGACCTGCCCCGGAGTGCGGCGGGCGCCGCCAGCGACCTGCCCCGGAGTGCGGCGGGCGCCGCCAGCGACCTGCCCCGGAGTGCGGCGGGCGCCGCCAGCGACCTGCCCCGGAGTGCGGCGGGCGCCGCCAGCGACCTGCCCCGGAGTGCGGCGGGCGCCGCCAGCGACCTGCCCCGGAGTGCGGCGGGCGCCGCCAGCGACCTGCCCCGGAGTGCGGCGGGTAATACACTCAGGAGCGCCGCACAAAACAGCCATAAACACGCCCGGGGCCGTCATAACACTGCCCCTCAGACCAGCGTCGCCGACACTCCCACCTCACATACATACAAATGTACTCAACCCCTCCCTCCCCCCCTTCCCGCAAGCACCAACCCCTTCCCTAGTAACCCCCAACACCCCCTTTACCACCCCCAACCCCCCCTAGACCCCCCTAAACTCCCTCGTTAACCCCCAACCACCCAACACATAAAATATAATAATAAGCAAATCAATAATTTAATTAATTAATAAAATAATCACAACAATGGCAGACGTAAACAAAGGGTTGTTGATAAAACAAAAGAGAGTCGAACATTAGAGGGGGGAGAGGGGGGGGGGAGAGGCATGGAGCGCGGGCCCCGTTGCGCGCGTCGGCTCTCATTAATTTGGCGCTCATTTTTCAAATATTCAAATGTTTCTCTTATCTCGCGTGTGGCATCCCCCATTTTTCATAAGAGGCGGGAAATTCAAAGTATTCATCTTGTGGAAGTATCGCTCTCAGTGACGGAGAGGGGCAGGGGACGGAGGGAAGGGGGGGGGGGGTAGGGAGAGATAGGAAGAGGGGAGAGTGTTAGGGGGAGAGTGTTAGGGGGAGAGTGTTAGGGGGGGAGCGTTAGGGGGGAGGGAAGAACGTTAGGGAAGGAGGGAGAGAGCGAGAGAGAGAACTAGGGGAAGGGGGGGGGGGGTGGAGACGATCACTGGGAAGGATAAACCGGGGGAGATTTAGGGGGGTTGGGGGACCCATGATGAAGGATAATAGACCAGGGGATGGTGGGGGGGGGAATAGGGAGTTGGGGGGAGAGGGGGAGGTGGGGGGGTAAAGGGGTCGGACGTGAGAGGGAACACACCAAGAGGATTAATGTATTCCGGTAAAATTGAAAACTTGGCTCAATGTCCACCTTCAACTCGACAGATGCGAGGCAGGAATCGAGTAGAACAGTTGGGGGTTCATTCTCGACTCGCAATCCGAGATTTCCGGGTTCGAATCCAGGGCGGAACAGAAACACTTGACCCCGTGTTCCCTACGTTTCCTTTCACCTAATATACCTCTTCATCTAGCAGTAAATAGGTACCCAGGAGATCACAGAGGATCACAGAGGAACACAGAGGACACAGAGGAACACAGAGGACACAGAGGAACACAGAGGACACAGAGGACACAGAGGACACAGAGGAACATACAGGACACAGAGGAACACAGAGGACACAGAGGACACAGAGGGACACAGAGGACACAGAGGAACATACAGGACACAGAGGAACACAGAGGACACAGAGGACACAGAAGACACAGAGGACACAGAAGACACAGAGGACACAGAGGAACATACAGGACACAGAGGAACACAGAGGACACAGAGGAACATACAGGACACAGAGGAACATAGAGGACACAGAGGACACAGAAGACACAGAGGACACAGAGGAACATACAGGACACAGAGGAACACAGAGGACACAGAGGACACAGAGAACACAGAGAACACAGAGGACACAGAGAACACAGAGGAACACAGAGGACACAGAGAACACAGAGGAACACAGAGGACACAGAGGACACAGAGAACACAGAGGACACAGAGGACACAGAGAACACAGAACACAGAGGAACACAGAGGACACAGAGGACACAGAGGACACAGAGGACACAGAGAACACAGAGAACACAGAGGACACAGAGGACACAGAGAACACAGAGGACACAGAGGAACATACAGGACACAGAGGAACACAGAGGACACAGAGAACACAGAGAACACAGAGGAACACAGAGAACACAGAGGAACACAGAGGACACAGAGGACACAGAGAACACAGAGGACACAGAGAACACAGAGGAACACAGAGGACACAGAGGACACAGAGAACACAGAGGACACAGAGGACACAGAGGACACAGAGAACACAGAGGACACAGAGGACACAGAGAACACAGAGGACACAGAGGAACATACTGGACACAGAAGACACAGAGGAACACAGAGGACACAGAGGAACATACAGGACACAGAGGAACACAGAGGACACAGAGGAACATACAGGACACAGAAGACACAGAGGAACACAGAGGACACAGAGGAACATACAGGACACAGAGGAACACAGAGAACACAGAGAACACAGAGGACACAGAGAACACAGAGAACACAGAAGACACAGAGGACACAGAGGACACAGAGGACACAGAGGACACAGAGAACACAGAGGACACAGAGGACACAGAGGACACAGAGAACACAGAGGACACAGAGGACACAGAGAACACAGAGGACACAGAGGAACATACAGGACACAGAGGACACAGAGGAACATACAGGACACAGAGGAACACAGAGGAACACAGAGGACACAGAGAACACAGAGAACACAGAGGACACAGAGGACACAGAGGACACAGAGAACACAGAGAACACAGAGGACACAGAGGACACAGAGAACACAGAGAACACAGAGGACACAGAGGACACAGAGAACACAGAGGACACAGAGGACACAGAGAACACAGAGGACACAGAGAACACAGAGAACACAGAGAACACAGAGAACACAGAGGACACAGAGGACACAGGACACAGAGAACACAGAGAACACAGAGGACACAAAGAACACAGAGGACACAGAGGACACAGAAGACACAATAGGTCTTTATCAGACCTCAACAGAGATTATTACACAAACAATTACATCTATCCTTCACACCTCATAATATCTTGAGGTTATCTTGAGATAATTTCGGGGCTTTAGTGTCCCCGCAGCCCGGTCTTCGACCAGGCCTCCACCCCCAGGAAGCAGCCCGTGACAGCTGACTAACACCCAGGTATCTATTTTACTGCTAAGTAACAGGGGCATAGGGTGAAAGAAACTCTGCCCATTGTTTCTCGCCGGCGCCTGGGATCGAACCCAGGACCACAGGATCACAAGTTCCGCGTGCTGTCCGCTCGGCCGACCGGCTCCCTATATCAGCCGGTTACTGAGATGGCTTCACTTCAATAGCTATGTATCTACAATTAATCATATGTCTACATTATTTGCAGATCTTTTTGCTAATACTTAGCTGTTTTTAGCTATAGAGGAATTACAGGGGCACAGAAAAGCTGCTATTTGTTATCGAGATATATACAAGAGTTGTTACATTCTTGTACAGCCACTAGTACGCGTAGCGTTTCGGGCAGGTCCCTGGAATACGATCCCCGCCGCGAAGAATCGTTTTTTCATCCAAGTACACATTTTACTGTTGCGTTAAACAGAGGCTACAGTTAAGGATTTGCGCCCAGTAAATCCTCCCCGGCCAGGATACGAACCCATGACATAGCGCTCGCGGAACGCCAGGCGAGTGTCTTACCACTACACCACGGAGACTATTCTTAGTGTTCACAGCACACACCTTGTTCCTTACTCTCATGTCACTTACCTACTGGATGCGACACATGGATACAGGGGCAAGGACTTGTTGTGGGGTTGTGGAACCATGATACATGCCTAACGTATGTGTATATACACACAGACTACCTGTCCCCGACAAAATGAATTATAAGGCGGAGGGAGGGAGACATTGTGAGAGGTGAGGCTCAGGAGCTGAAGACTGTCCAGCACGTACACACACACACACACACACACACACACACACACACACACACACACACACACACACACACACACACACACACACACAAAGACTATGCCAGAAGAGAGCCTGGTCACTCTATTGAGATCAGAGTGAGGTGTGACGACCTTGCACAAGCACAGTTTAACTCTGCCAACCACATCCCCATAAACCAACACAAGACTCTAACTCACCTACTTAATTTAAAGTCATTTTTGTCTGCTGACTAATCCTTTGGCTCTTCCAACACGACCACGCGGAAACCCTTTTAGCCAAGGAGGGGACGGAGCGGGGTTCAGTACCTCACCCTGTATGTGGTTGGGAGGCAAGCGTCAACTCCTGGGCTCCGACTTTCAGCTATCGGTTGTCTATTACTCTGTGTCCTCTTGCTGGTGGTTATATATATATTTTTTCTTAAAAGTAAATATGGCGTTATCGTTATCTTCCTTCCCTTTTAGCTTGTTTCTCTTGCCCACACTGAAGCAGTGTTGTCCACTACTTTTACAATGAAGCAGTTCTTGTTGTTAAAGATTCGCTACTTGGAACAAAAAGTTCCAAGTAACACGGGCTATGGTGAGCCCGTAGATAGTGTGTTGTCCACGACAACCTGTAACAGGTACAACCTTGTACCTTGCATGTAACCAATGTTGTAACCCCTTTTTGTGTATTGCATTACACCTATGTAAACGCACATTAATGACACTTTGTAAAAAGACACCTCGAACACTGTTCATGTAGAACAGACGTAAATCTGTGAATTTATGTTCGTAGGTTAGCTTAGCATTTTAAAAGCACTACAATCACCTTCTGTGGTTGATTGTTCAATAAATCACTGAACTATATGTTAAACAGATCTCTCACCCTGTCCATGAAAGACAGAATAAAATATATACATGCTGATTAGCAATGTAAATGTCAGGCCACGTCTGTGGTAGAACAAATACCAAATAAAAATATCTCAAGACAATCGACTTGGGAATGGTCCAGGACGGACCGAAACGTCGTCGTCCCTTCAACTTCTAGTGTGTGGTCTGGTCAACAAATAATAATAATCAACTCGGGACGCGAAAACTCACCATAATACTGTCACCGTCGCACCCTGGAACCTGTTCAGGACGTAGAGATCCTACCCAACCAGTCCTCTCATCTCTCAGTTAAGAGACATGTGATCAATTATTAATTGTGCTTATCTGCGTTCCGTTAATGATACTTTGTGTTGAATGTTTGGGGGAAAAGAGGCCTGAGAGGAACCTGTCTTCTACCAAGAAGTTCCAAGAGGAACCTATCTTCTACCTTCTTCTACTTCTACCAAGAGGATACTTCCTGCCCCCCGAAGGAAGGAGTATGTTGTACCTGTGTGTC